ACCTGTGCCGAGCACATGTTGTCATAATGAGTTCTGCTGTGTCCAGGCAGGCAGTGCATGTAGGGAAAATACCTGAACACTGATCATGATGACTGATCAGTGCTCACAAAAACGCTTCCGTGATAAAAAAATACTCATACTAAAAGGGTCTTTTCGTAAGTTGTCCTGTGCTGAAGTTTGTGCATGTGAGTGACTGGGTATCACCACATGGAGTTTGACTGTAGCAAATCCCTTTTTTTTGTTGTTTTTGAAGGAAGCAGAAACAGATCTTCAGACATCCATTTGTACTCTGTAAAGGAATCTCACAATAAACTCAAACTAGATGCAAGTCTATCAGTAAATAAATCAAAATTGTTATTTTGGACAAAGCAAAACAACCAAGTTTCATTTTGTCAAAACACCTATGAAGATCGCTCAGTTGAATGAACCCTGTCAGATTTCTTTGTTTTGGAAACAAACTGACTGAGAGACAATGATGTGACTGAAGAGAAGATTCTATCAAGAAATCCCAGTTGACATCAAGTTCACCTTCAGGCAGAGATGGTCCAGGGAGTAGTATAAATAAATTAGATACTCTGGCATCCAGCCACTGTTTATTTAAGTCTGTCGTAAACACTGGGACCAATAGTTGCACTGGAATTTGCCATCACCACGTTTTTTTTTTTTTTGTATTTTGCGGTGACCCTTGATACATTGTGCTGTACCATTTGGACTGATAAGACGCCCTATCTGACATGCATAATATTTGGCCAAGATAAGAATTATTTGTCTATTTGCCCCAACTCAACATGTCACAGTAAAAACAGCGAGGACATGTAGCGTATGTCAATTATTCTTGCACCAGATTTACACACTCGGACTTTGTGGCGGTCACTCGGCATTCAGAGGATTGTTAACAGACGTTGCTTTTTATTTTAAAACCTCCAATGGAATTCCAGCAATGAATATGTTTGAACTGCTCCCTCTGGAGAGAGTATGATTTTGAAAATTTTGTTTTCGTGTTTATTTTTGTAAACGCTTGTTTGCTTCAAACGAGAGTCATGGGTTAAATGATGGACGGGTCTCAATTGTTTATCAGCATGGTCTTGGTAATGTCTTTTGTTCTCTAATGTTTTGACATCTTCGGTCCAGGTGACAATAATCGAGTGACTTTTTTTGGGGGGGGGGTTTCTTGTAAACAGATTGTATAATTAATGGGATTGGCCATCCCAAATGGTCTCCCAGGGTGCTTTGCATGTGCACCACCCTGTCAATTCACAATGATGGAAATGCTGTCATGATCCCAGGCATCATTCCCCAGGGTCTTAGTAACTGACCCCTCTTTCCAAATCCAAAGTTTGGTTTATAAACAAAGCATCATTCTCCTGGCACACACCAGTCACAACAGGCTTGGTTCACACTGGTATCTGGCCGTGTGGTTTTCAGGCTGTGGAAGCCAGAACAGACCCGGGTCTTGTCCCGTTGTTTTTTCAGTGAGGTTGGAATCACCTACTGTATGCCTCTCTGCTCTAATGGAGGGTCAATCCCAGTGGATGAGAGAGTGGCATCTCGTATCTGAAGGAGTTGGGATTTTGAAGGAACATTTTGGCGCAAAGATACATGCAGACAACTGTGGGGAGAATCATGAGCTAAATCCCAGCCCACTCCTAAAGACTTGGGGGGGGGGGAGGTGCCAATGATAAGTCTGGCAGCAGATGTACGCCTACAGGAGTCCGAAACAGTTTCTCTCGAAGTGACATGTTGACAGGGGACGTGTTCTCCAACAACCTTGGCAACCAGCAAGTTGCTGATTCATTACACATAGGGTGCATTGTGAGCTGCAGTACAGTCTCTCAGGTCATCAAAAAAGTATGGTTGTAATCAAAGTCTTTCAAGCAGGACTGCTCACATGTGTATATTCATACATGTGTTTTAGGGCAGTGTGGTCATCCACAGACACACATTGTACATGTACATACCTAGTCAGACTCCTAAGTTAGCTGATCAGCCAGTGCTTTAGCATTGATTGTGTCTCAGTATCACATGACCTAACATTTCCTTGGTAACAATCACCCTGTCGCTAACGACATACATGCATTATTTTTGTGGTTACATGTAGTTGGTTGGTGTCAGTCACATGCTCATACAATAACAGGAGTAGGATCTCAATATTTTTACTCGAGTGCATTTCCTTATTCCCAGTCATTGAGGCGTGTTTGTTTTACACTCAGATTCCCTCTGGCTTCCTTGTTTAATCAAAGTATTGCATTGTATGTCTAACAATGACAGGAAACGTCACCCTCCACTGTGTGTAACATAGCCCCCTCCCCCCCAAAAAAAATTGGGTACAGCCACTACTCTTTCATGGTTGTTACACCTTTATCATAAACTGTATGGAAACTGGTTGCAGGCATTAATGACTAAATTTAGCAGAAATGTAGCTCCACTGCAGCTTTTTTCTACTGATTTTATGGCTTTGCAGCGCACTGGGTTTTTTTTTTATAACAAGCTGCACATTAAAAAAAAAAAAGGATAAATTCCACGCTAACATTGAACAGTTGCACAGATTGCAGACATACACAGGGTCATGAAACACTGTTCACATACCCACACTCACCCCACAAGGCTTCCAAAATAACTTTGAAGAGTCAGCCAAACCATGTTGACCTTTCAAGTTACCAGCAGGGGCATGTTTGTACCTCCCAGTTTCACTGGCACCGAGTTCACAGGTGGGCCTTCATAGGTGACAATTCAGCTATGACATTTTCGAGTTTCCTTCAAAAACACACCCTCAGGCCTTGTGGAAGGCCAGAACATGGTCAGAGCTGGTCCAGAGAGGTTCTACCCTCTAGCTCTCAAGGCCTCCTGACCATCAAAATTGCTGGCTGAGTTGTCTGAACGTAGATCCTGGTGATATTTTTGTTTCAAAAAAAAAAGGAATACATGTGCCTTTCTAGAATGACAAAACAAGAAAATCAACAAGTTATCCGGACAACGTAGTACTTTTAGAAGATTGTCAAAGACAATGAACATGAACATCCTTTGTTAGAGATTCTTGACGAAGCAGCTGGACAACACACTTAAAAACAGTTCTAGAAACAGTTTCTGAAGACAGTGAACATTTGAGTTTAGAAACCACAAAGTGGATTTTCAGCTAAAAGCTTTTAAGAGTTACGTCGGTCTTACTGAGTGTTGTTCAGGCTGAAAAAAATAATGGACAGCATTCAGTGGTCTAAAGACACTCAATTGCAAAACTTTGCTTCTCCGAAACCAGACCTATTGTAACATCAGGGTAGTTTTTATTGCAGCACATATTATACTCTTTTGGCATACACGGAATAACATTTAAGAATATTCACATACTTGGCAAAACATGCGACACAAAACAAGATTACATTTCCACAAAAGTATATGCCACAGCCAGTCGTAAGTATGAAACAAACACGGCTCGTCACATTACCAATATTTGCCTGTCAGTTTCACCAATCCTTTGTCACTACCAGTCCTTTCCTGTTTGTTTGGAACATGGGAAACTCATTGAGTAAATTCCCTAAAGCAAAAATAAACTTGCATTGTATTCCAATGAAGTTACAGTACTTAATTGTAATGATGTGTTTGTTTTTGCCGCCAAAGCAGAATGACACAACAGATTTGAACACAACAGTTATCAAGGAAGTTGTAAAGGAATTAATACAAAATTAGGTGTTTTTTTTTAATTTAATGAGAGAGTTAATGATGAAGGAAAACAGACCATAGAATGAGTGTCCTGTCATAAATTTGATATCTTGGTTTTTCCTTATCATGGCTCCTTTAGCATGAGGCTTTGAGTGAATTTTTGAAGTGAAGTTTATGGAGCTGAAGTGGTTACACAGAGAAGACTTGTCTGCAGGTTGTGAGTTGCAACAGCAACGTTGTTCAGGATGGTCGCTGACACATGCCGTTGGGTTTTTATTTGTCTTCATGGAACCACATGTTTCCATGCTGAAAACCCAAGCAAGCATACCGATTACAAGGCAAGCCAGATTTGGCAGAAATTTGGCCAAAATAGGCCGAAATATAGCTAATTGAACTACACAGTTTTTAAAGATTTTATACAGACATTTATAAATTTATACTGAATACATTATGCTTGTAGTACTACAACAGTTTCAAAAAAAGGAACTTAGAAAAAGTAGAAAAGAGTAGCCTCATTCAGGCTTTTGTGGAAGTCTGGTTCCCTTTTAATTATAAGAATGTACTTCAGTGTACTTTATGTGTAGCTTTATCCTACACCAATGCAAAAAAAATAATTATTTTCATGAGTTTTTTTAATTATTTTCTTTTTATTTTATTATTTTTCCCAGGAGATGATTCCTGTCAGTACATCAAAAATAAGCTTTACTAAGTTGTTATATAGGTTTAAGAATTACATTTGTGTCATGATAGCCTGTGAACATTAGGTCATTATTGTATAGATTTTGAATATATAGATCCAGCCTCAACCATCAAGAAAACCAATTCCAATTCAATACCAATAAAATACTCAATATTTGGTGTTAAGCTGCTTTCTTTACATGTCTTCTGGAGAAACAAATCTTAATAAATTACCCCAAAACTGGTGTGATGTACATAACTACAGTTTATTTGTAGATAAATTATTTCCTTTTTAATTACATATATTTACAGTTTGTTTTCATAACTTGTGAATTTTAAGATGATTTATCGGTTCAGTGTAATTTTAATACTTTCCACTTCATCACTGACTTTTATTTTGAGCCCAAAACAACATCAAAGCCTGAAAAAGTGACAAATGTGAGCCAAACTATCTGGTGGTCCCTTGTATCACTCAGGAAAACATAAGTATGCAAACACTAAAACATGAACAAAAGCAATAGAAAGGTGAATACTGAATGTTTATCCTTCTCAAAGACATCTTAAGCTCAGCTACTGCAGGGGTGTGAGTGGCCACTTCAATTAAAGCTGAAAACAGCTAGCAAAAAGCTGAAATGTTCCCATACTTTTGTACAGACCAGGTGTACAAAAAAGCTCAAATTCTGGGTCGACGTCTAAACAAAAAAAGGCTGAAATCAGCTAAAAAGCTGAATTCTCACACCCCTGCTATTGATAAATAGCACCGTTAACTATTACCAAAACAAGGCTATGTTTAAAACATGCACAGTGAGGTATATGTGTGTAACAACTACATGTATGCAGGTTACATATCTAAATTTATAATGAGTGTAATGTGCTGAAAAATTCAATGTAACTTCAAATTTCCAAAAGGCTATGTGACTATGTCACATAACATCTCTTAGACTGAATCACTCATTTAGGATTTTGAAGTAATTGTCTTGCAGAGAGTTTGGCATTCTAAACATCATTGATATTTGGAATGATAAAACAGTGACCTTCAAGCGTTGTCGTCAAACTCGTCTAATTTACCAAGATCTCGTCATGGTTTTCCACGCTATGTGTCCTGGCGAAAGTTGTTTTTTTTTCTTCAGTATCAGCTCTTTCCAGAAATCATGGTCTCCAGGAATGCTGGCCACAAAAATTGTTCCTCATCCACACCCGTGTCGTAATTGGTCCATCAGTGCTTGCTGTTATGATGTAAGTGGATGATATCATCCAAGTCACACTCGTTTAGTCCCCTGGCGGTGAAGTCCTTTGCTATCCTCCTGGCTTGGGAGTACCTGGGCGAACAGCCCAGCCGAGCTTGGCCCAACACGAAACTCCCCATCATCAGAAAGTGTCCTTCGCCCCATCGCACCCCGCATCTCAGGGGCTTGACCACCACCCCGGAGTAGCGGCTGTGAGAAGCTGGGGTGAAGATGTGGTCTCGCTGTCTGAAGACATGGCTGATAGACAGGTCGATGAAGGCTGTTTGGGAAATACTGTCGTGCATAACGTCTCGCATACTGGACTTGACGGCTGTGCAAAAAAAGTTTAAGATCAGACCCATTATCTTCCTTTTTCCCCCTAATTTTTATTTAATTTATTCTTCCAATTTTCATGTTCAGATACTTTCTAGAATTTCTGTGGTGAGGTCACCTGACCAATCACTAAACCACTCACAGGAAGTGACAAAGAAATGAATAACTTGTGACTTGAAGGGTCCTGTGAAAGTCTTAAGGGATGTCAACTACAACACTGCTGTCTGCTGCAAAACTCAACAAGAAATCATATATTCCAGCTAGGACTGGATCCACATCATTACTGGATAACTCCACATAGAAGTGAAACCAAATTGAGACCAGTTGTTAACACAAGATGTTGAAAATCAACTACCCCTCTGATTTTGCAGCTGGGATCAAGCTGTGCCTTACAAGTACACATGGCCAGATGGTCCTGGGTACGCCCACCTGCATGAACTTCCACAGCAGTGTTTGGATGAAGTACAATGGAGCAGATGACCTTTGCATGTTAGCACTTGTACATGTACATGTATTTGCATGGAACACTTCAGGAATATATGATTTGGCCAGTTCTACCAACTCAAAGGGGATAATTGTTACTCCTATAAAGTCTGCTTTCCATGAGGGTGATCTGATGCTTTTACCCCATACCTTTTGAGTTGACTTGGTAGCCATGCAGAGAGGGGTTATTAGATCAGACCCAAACACCCCCTGGTCTTTGATTCGGGTCAAAGATCATTATTTCAGGCAGCAAGGTGGTGGTCAAACCGTAATATTGACCCAGCATGTAACCAATATTTGTGACACCCCAACACTAGCTTAAGTCTCATAACTAACAGTAGGGCGTGATTCTCCTTGTGTACAACAGGATTTGGAATAAAAGTACATTTTACGACAAGTTGAATGACACCAACTAGTCACTTACCAAAGTCACTTGAACAGAAAGATCTCATGATTTCGCTGTCATTACAAGGTCTGCAGTCTGTGATAGAAAAAAAGAGAGGGGATATAACACTTTTAAAAAATCTGAATCAATCTTTTTCCAAGCAAAATCTCACATTGATGAAATGGTTTCAAATTGCGTGAAGTTAGAACAAATATGAAGTGTTAGCCAATGAATCAAAAAAAGGAAGTTTGGAAGTCGTAGCCACATCTCCACATTGGTGTCTAAAAATATCCTCACTTGACAGGTACCTACGCATTTACTCATTCTGCACCACTGTATTTTTGCTGTCTTTCAGCAGAAACCATCAACAAGGTATCGAGTGCAATCATAGCTTTGTGTTTCATGTTGTAGTGTAATATATAGCCGTGCACAAGCAGGGTTAGAAAAGGGAGATAGTTTGATAAATAGCTGCACTGTTGACGGACAAAAACTAGCCGTCTTTATTCGCCCCAAGTTGAAGTGCACCCCCAAGCAGAAAAAGAGAGACAGACAGTAGTAAGTTTTCCCAGCAGGTTCTTGCACACACGCAGAACGTGTGCATTAAGGCATATATTCATTTACGCGTGCACATGCTCTGTGTCAAACGCGCCATCGATCTCCAGTATAAATACGTGCCTCTGCGGTCAGTACAAAAAAACATGCCCGCTTTTGTTCTGCTCGGAGTGGACTCTGTTGTGTAGTTCAAGTTGCAGTAATCACGCTATTTGCAAAAGACTTTGCGAAGTACATGTAATTACTATCAGCACGTTTACAGTGCGTCAACGTTACACTCAGTTACCTTCATTTGTGGTAGAATTTAAATGTAGATATTGGCGGTGCAGCCAAAAAAGTGTACCAAGTGCCTGAAATGCTGTACTAAACAGGTGTATCAAGTTTGTGTTTTAACATCATTCACAGAGATTTCAAGCATGTATGCAATGTGCTTAATGTTCTTGTTCAATTCATAAATGGTATTTCAGTGACAAATATTGTGATTTTTTTTGTCTTAGAACAGCAATGACCTGTAAATGTTACCGAAACAGATTTATGGCACTGCATTTCTAACATCTGGACTGCATGAGACAGGATAATCCTAGGTATTTTTTAGTCTAAGCCAAGCCATAAATTGTCAAAATTACGAGGCTTTGGGGGCATATAAGTCATGGCATTGTCAGCCCAGGCCACGTGCTTTTTGTTCTCTTTGTGTGTCAACAATATTATTGCATCATCTGTGTGTTCCTAACTCCAACTGACACATTTCGTAATGCAGGAGAATGGTATCATCATTCAGAAACAATAGACTTTAATTCAAGTGCCGCGCATTTTTGTGGTCATCTTTTGAACTGCAAATGTCTAAAAAAAAATGAAAAAACTAGGGACAAAACTACAGATTGAGCTCAGATCAAGGGGATGTAAAGGGAAGTCACTTCCCATTGCTGTCAGTATTTTTAGTGCCCACAATTCCAGTTAAAGGTGCTTTCATATCAAAGCCGGACAGAAGAAACGCTCTCTCCAACTGAAAGATAATAATTATTGACTGTACAAAAGAAAAATTGCCACAAATACTCAGTAGGGTGTCCGACCTCGTGGCCCCCATGTCATAATCGCAATTATCTTTTATGGACAGACTCCATGAGAATTGGGGACAATAGGCACTTGTTCTGGACAAGCACTGGGATAGTTCCATAATCTCAATGGAAAGTTCTCTTTTGGCAGGCCTTCTGTAGAGCCTGTTTGTGTCAACATAACCCTGAATTAACTTTCTGCTGATTGCTCCAATCAAAAGTTTCATGACCCCCTGCAGATCTCCTTATACCCTTGTGAAGGTTTTATTCGCCCATGAAAGGCAGAAAATACATCTATTTCTATATCTTAACCCTCAAAAAGGAATATGGCTTTGCAGATCACGTCAGTGGAAAAGGCAAAGTGTTGGACCACTTGAAGGCTAAAGGTAATCTCAAGAAATGTCATGAATCACAGCATGACTGCTTTATAACACTTTCCACCTTTAACTTTCTGCCACGGATTATCCTCAAGGGATCAAAATATGTTCTTCTAGATATACAGGGTGAACATTCAAGAAGCAGATGATTGTGCCATCAAAACCTTGCTCCCACCTCATAAAATGGCACAAACAATATTACATGTGACATTCATATCTGGACTTCATTCTCTCATTGCAGAAGTCGAACACAGCACAGAGGGATTTCATGTCACTGCAAGACACCAAGTGAAATAACAATGAATGCTTTGCAGTTACCACACCATATGTGACCGGCTCTAGAAAAATGATTAATAAGTCGCCAGATTCAGGTTATGAGTTTTTGATATGGCTGGGTTCTGTACATCAAAAGCTACAATTTGATACATGAATGACCCCGTAGTGCCCTGCGTACTGGATATATATAGACATTTGTATATCCGCATTTTTTGGATTCAATAAAAGCACTTTTTGAGAAAAAGCTCTTGAATTGTGCTTGGAAACACAATGCTATGTAGGATTTCCCACTGAATGATCATTTTTTCATCTATTCATCAGTATCCATGTTTGTAGTCACAAATTCTGGAAATATAAATATTATAGAAAGTATTAAAGGAAAAAACACAAAATCACATTTTTGAAGAAATGTTGCCCTCTCCAAATAGAACAGGCACTGACATGTTTTGGCACTGCGCGACTTATTACCCTTCTTTGCAGAGCGGATCACATATTATGGTGCACATGTACATGTACATGGAGGTAACAGTGCAGTTGGAACTTGTGCCGAGCAAGGGGTGCTTGTTGGCATAAATCGAACAGTCCATATAGGTTACATTTGCACACAAAACGACTCCGTTGGCATGGCTTACGTTTCACTTTGTGTGTTGGAGTGATGTTGAGAATGTGGTGAAAAGCAGGAGTCCAAGGAATCACTTTCCTTTGATTTGACCTTGAAACATCACTTCCCTGTGGGTGAAGAAATGTCAGCAGTTTGTATTTAAGCAACTCCCTGTGTGATTATGTTGTACATGTATGTAATGAATTTCCCCATGTGCACAGCTGCTGCTGTTGGGGGTTACATGTACAACACGCCGAGTTCAAACAGTATCCCTTTGATAAAATGCTGGATGAAGAACGGTCGAAAGACTCAATTAAATCCAAATTGATTTTGAAGCACGCATGAAAAGCAGTTTCATTGTATGAGTAACAATAGGTCTTGCAAACATCTGCCACTGTGTGCACAGGCAACACTACACATAGCAGACGTTGTGGTGGTTTTGTCATTAAATAAAAGAAATTAAAACTCTTCAACGCCTTAGTTTTTATTTTTTCATTAGTTTTATAATTGAATCCTAGTATTAGTAATTGAATACAGCGGAAGGCACCTTCCATGTATTCATAAATCTGGTGTTACATGTACCTACACCTCCATCTGGCACAGTTTTATTAAGATATTCTTATAAAACCCCCTGTAAAATCACCTTTGCAAGGAACTTTACTTTATCCTTTTAAATTGTTTAACTGTGCAGGAAGTAATACTACTTCAAGCCTCATGTAAAGTAACTGCAGCTTGGCTCTAGCCTCTTCCTTCCCAATTCCTGCAAAATACTTCAAATCCTTTAAAAACAGGTGGATTTTCAAGGATTTTTAAAGGCATTGGTCAAATTTTGTCAATTGTGCATGAAAAAGGAAAATGTTTCCAGACATGGTTACATTCAAATCATTGGTTATTTTAAGAACAAATTCCTGTTGTGTTGCCAGCCTACGAACAGTGATTAATAATTCAGTACGTTTCTGCATCTGATCCAGACCAAATCATGCAATTAACCTGTATTGATTCATCAACTTGATCCTTTTTTATCTCCTCTGGAATTTTATTCTTCCGAATCAAAGAACTGTAAACAGGAGAGCTTTTTTTTTGAGTGAAACTGCTTTATGCGTGCCAGAGGTGTGATTATAAAAACAGAGACACCCACGCAGACCAATGCAATCAGAAGTGAGAGCCATTCATCTATTTCAACAATATTAATAGCCATTTACCAAGGATGCCCCCCCTTAATCTCATCTATTGTGGTAATGCTTTGTTCATGTTTGGGTGAACACAGCAGGAAATGACAATTATTAATCCCAATTGATTGACCAACTCCATCTGGATTGATTTTCTGCCTCCAGCTTCATGCCAAGGCTCCTCATTAGAGCAACTGGACAGGGGATGTAGTGGGGGTATTAAAGGCACATACGGTTTAACAATCTGATAGGTTACTTGAGGGGGCAGCCCAGTGGCATAACGCGTGCTGAATGTGCGAGGGGAAGGGGGCGGCACCCGGGCGTGCACACACTTTTTCAAGGGGGCACCTCAAGAAAACGAGCTGCAGCTGCATAGCTATATATAAATTCGACGGCGATTATTCAGATTTCAAATGCTGGGGGGCACCTTTCCCCCCCCCCTAGTTTTGCCAGGTGCCGCAGGTGAACTTGTAAATGAGGGTTGGCCTCATATGATCAGTGAAACGTTGGTCCTATAGTATCAAGCAGTAAAATACCCATGCATGGACTGAGATCAAGACTAAGGGCCGAGATCAAGAACTTGCAAGTCAGTATGTTTGCCATCTTGCCTGGCTAGTTTCTCTGTGATGCTCCTGTAAATTTATGATTTGTGTTGACTATCCATAAGTTAGCTGGTCGGGTTAATGTAAATTGCAGGCTACCCATGTGGCAGACTGCACATTCCAGGGCCCTTACCCTCTCACATTAACCTGATCAACAAGTAAAGCCACAATATCTGATTTTCAACACATTCTTTTCAATTTTATCCAATCCACAACAGAGGAGAAGTTCTGTAGATTAGGAGATTTAGGGGATAATCTAGTATTTAGTGTACTGTGTGTGTAATCTGCTTTCAATGTGTCCATATGGCCCCTTGCTGTGGTCAGACTAACACTCACTTTAGCCAGGTTTTCTGTGAGAACAGTAACTGTAGCTTTTGTGAAGTACTTAGTTCCACTTTAAATGTCACAAACGAATGAAGTCAGATGTTACGTTGAGAATGCTAGGAGAGTAAATGGATGCCAAAATTAGAATATTACTTAATTTGTGGGTAACTGCAGTATCACTGCAGTTGTAATACGATTTGCATAGTTTCATTTGCATAATTTCATTTGCATAGAATACATGAGCATGAATTATCGTCCAGTGATTTTGATGTACCATTTATACACATGTAATTGGTGTATTTTGAATGCAGATTAAGCAACATTTACAATTAAATTCAGTTACTCTTAAAAACTAATGTTTAAATTGGCATTAGGTTCTTTGGTATTTTAAAAGTGCTACATATAATTCTGTTCCTGGGTGCACAAAATGTTCATGAGAATCACTGTTTACCAATTAAGCGTGCCACCCAGTGTTGCTAATCTTGATGACATGTCTGATGCCGTGTGACATGAAATGCCCCATGCTGGCTGGCAATGAACTTAGTTTGACCAGCCTGCCGACAACTTGCATGAGACTCCATGGATCGACAAAGCATCCAACCCCATCAATATAGCGTACTCTAACCTTTGCCTGCTAACTCGTCTTTAATCTTTTTGTTTGGTTACCCTGCACTCAGCTTATTTTAATATGATTTGTGAGGGGTACATACTTGTAGGATTATGGACACTGGAAGCAGGCGACAGGTGTAATGACAAGTGCATGTAATCACGTACTTCAAAAGAGTGATACATGTGGCTCTACAAATAAGGAAATACACACTTGGCCAGTAAGCTGAATTATTAGCGTAACCCTGTAGTTCATTTCAATTCATCAAGTTTGAATTCTTGTCAGTCCATAGGGTAAAAACCAATGAAAATGGAATCTGTCAACCAAACGTATTTCGAGTTTCATCATATTCCAGCACTGCTGTACAAGTATCTGTGATGCCTCCCGGAGAAAATGCCAGCAATAACCAAACCCATTAAGGAATTCATGGCCATCCACTAGCCTGGTATTGCAGTAGAGCCAGTAAACTCTGCGTCCTTGCTATATGGTCCCAGCCATAATTATTTCTCATCTCACCTGCTGTATTCAGAAAGGTGTCTTGCAAAAAGGTTTCTGGGGAGTTGAAAGATTCTCCAAACTGTGACCCCAGTGTGGTTAAGTGCAGATTCCTAGAACCAGTGATGTAAGTTGTTTATATACACAATCCTCATGGCCTAGTGGTCCAACATGACCTCATGACCTTTCGGGGCAAGCAGAGAACCATGGTACATAGGACTCCCATAAAAACAAACCAGCATTCCATCATCTGGTGCTAATGTTTGACGCAAAAAAATAAAATGTCGCTGTCATGAAGGTGCACAGGCTAGATGTTTGCTTTTATTCAGCAAGAAGGCAGCTGATGTCACTAACAGGGAGACTGTCCCTGGGAGTGTGAATTCTTGTCTTGTCCTCCAACTCTCAAAGAGTTCTTAAAAAAATTATGGTACGGGATATTTACTGACTTTCATACAGATGTATTCTGTGTATGTATTTAATTTTTCTAAAAGTATCTTCACAGGCTTATGATGCATTTGATAACTGTGTTTGTTCATCAATATATCCCAGTTTGACAGTCAAATGCTAATTTGACACAAAGCACTTACATACTAGTAAAGTGTCCTTTCCGAACCCTGGAGGATTTTTGCTAAGCAATAAATAGGTTCTGCAGGTATAACCCTGTTGCAAACCACTACCCTTGGGCTTCCCAAAAATAGGCCTTCTTCAACTGGAAGGGCTTGGAGAATCAAGAGAATACGCAGTCATCGCCATAAAATTTCAACTTTCTGTGCAAAAGGGGGGGGGGGAAATAAAGACACCAGGCAGTTTGGTTTCACCAACTACCCTTTTTCAGGGCCCCCTGGTTTCCTATACAAGCGGGTCTTGCACTGGGATATTATCATGGACTTAATCTCTCCCTCACAGGGAGCCATTTATCCCAACACCCTGGGTTCTCCAGTCATTCAAAGTCGACATAGCCCCTAAAACCCTGGAGTAAATGCTCACAGCCAAGTTACCCATACCATAAGATCCCATGCAAAGCCAAACTCCTTGTGGCGTAACCTCCTTTTATGCCTTCCCTGACCCTGACCTATTGTCCAGTTGCCCGAGCCCATACAACCTGTGTCATGTCGGCTCCAAAACAAACCTCACCATACAAAGACCTGCACTTTTTTTCTGGAAAGGTGGATGAAAAAATGCAGTTAATTCCTACCGGATTTGGCAGTAATTGTAGGGTTTTTGGTGGATGTGCTCGCGCAGCATTGCAGCAAGCTGATATTGCATGTAGGGGGGCTACAATCTCTGGTGTGAGTACTTTTTTAAGATGCCAAAAGTCCAAGTTGCCATTGATAATCATTGCCTTCGATAAGTCTTTTACTCAGACTTGTGGTTTGTTGAAAATCCTGCCCTTTCTAAACTCACCCGACAGGCAGGAAGTTAGTAATGATTAGATTTTTTCCAGTCCCTCCACCCAACATTTAGGCAAATCAACTGACCTTCCACACTTTGATGAGGATGACTGCTCGGTAGTGGTTCCAACAGATAGTGTATATCCACAATTTGCTTAACAATTCCTAAATTGTCCAGACTGGCCTCAAGGAAGAGAGTTGCTCTGCCATTTTCAGAGCTAAAGCAGTGAACCTCACTGGCTCCAGAATTGGGAGAAACCGTCCGATGTGCTTTCCCTTCCTCATAAAAATCCCTCCTCAGTTCAAGGCTGTTTAACACCACAAGCATCTTCAATGTGCTTTGTGTTTCCTTGTAGATATTTACACCGCTGCTCGTCGCCGAGGTTTTAAAGCACGCTAAAAAATCTTCATCCAAGTTGCCGCTTTTAAACGTGATCCGAATAGCACTGGTTGGAAAGGTCCATGTAACTCGCCCCCGTGGACACTGGAAATAAAGCTGATGTACCAAGCGGTCAGCTGGATCTTCTGTCAGTCCGCTGCAAGAAACGAGAGTAGAATAAACCACATGAAAATGTATTCAAGTATCAAAATGGGTATCTGGGGACAATTCCATGCAAAAGTGGACTTTTTGGTCACACTGTTACTGACCAGGTTATTCTTAAAAATAAGCTTTTGAGAAAAAAAGAGACATAATGGGCTTAGCAGTTTAATTTTCTTTAATTTCACTTTCAGTTTTTCTTGTAAGCCTTCTTTTGATCGTGAATTACTGTCAATAACTTTCATACAAAATTGCCCATCTGGATTTTATATTTTAAACGACTTTTCCAGAATATTTGATAGTCTTGAAGATGTCCCCTGTCAAGTCAGATAACCATGACCAAACAAAGCAATTCAAAGAGTCCCGAGTCAACAGACTACTGTCTTTCTGAGTCAAACATTATCAGAATGTACGTCAAGGTCTTTTTTTAAACAGGGGGCACACTATATCATCTTGTGCGCTGTCATTGACTATCTTTTGATCACAATCAAGTGATTTTGACAATTGCCCCTCATAAAGAAGTCTTGAAGTCCTTCACTATCTTTCTTCACCCCTGTCGGCTTTACCCTCAGACACTCCATCCCATACATGTGGAGAAAATAGGCCATGGAAAGAGTACAGGTTACCGCATGAACTTCCAGGGTTGGAAATTCACATGGGGAAAAAGGAAGGGGTGTTGGAAGAATCATGTTTTCCCCCAACTGTACAAGGCAACAGCACCACAGGTCATGAACAGGTCACCTGTTATTGTGGGTTAGCGAGCGGCTACAAGTTCCAGGCCTTGTGATGGGCTTAGTAATGACATTACTTTACCCAGTATGCTCCAGCGATTGCAGTTGTAGTTGGACAAAGCCTGGCACAAGTCATGCAAAACTTGTGGGCTTCTACAAGCAATTACATAGTTTTCTATATATATATTGTTATTCCTCAGGTCAGAGTCACAGCAGGGACACATTACACACACCACAGAGTTTCATTCAGCCTGGGGGGAGAATTACAGGATTTCACCTGGGGATAAGGTTACCAAGGTGGTCACCTTGTTCCCCTGAACTTGACAGACAGTCCAGGCTGAGGTAGGCAACATTGGGGTCTTTCAAGAAAATCCAGGTGATGGAATAGTTTGAGTCCCGTTTGTATTCATTAATTCATGTGGAGCATATCAGGTTTTTCTCTCACTGAAATCAGCTACTCTATATAGATGCATTTTGCCATCATACAGGTCCATATCTTTTGCAACTGTGGCTCTTGAATAAAAATTCAAGCAATAACTGTCCAAACAGTCGAAGATTATTCTATCCAGACAGCCTTGTCAAGGGTAACAACTCAGAACACAGCAAGAATTCAGTGAGACAGTATCATTCACCCTAGAAATGATACATGAAGTAATGACTGACAGAACCTGAAACTCCAGACATAGCAGGGATTCCATCAGCAGAGGGAGAGATTACTTCGGTAATTAGACTGCGTGTGCATATGCCCTGTATCCATTAAGAAATAATCCGATGGTAACCTCAAGCCCTGTTCTAATTAACAGAGGGTGTGTGGACTTGGGCCATTTTAGAGCAAGTCAAAAATAATTACTTCTCAACTCTGATTTAATTCAGATGGACCAGGATTTTTTCTTTTTTTCTGAAAGAATCCCTGAAGAATTGTTATGAAGGGTGGCACATAGCGACCCAGTGTGACAAAGTGTTGGGGTTCCTTGTAAGTGTTAGATCATGAAGGGCAGTGCAGCGGGTATAAAATCTCAAATGAGTGTGGTTTCAGTATTGTCTCCACGATCTATGAAAAAACTTGCCTTTAAATTCAAGTTACTTCAAATTCAAAAAATCATTTGGAATTTGTCCAATTTACAGGGACACATTTTGAGAAAACATTCCTTTAGACTCCTAAAAGAAAAACAAAGCAGAGTTCTGCCTCCATCTGAATCCATCATTCCTTCCTGATCTAAATAACTAATGACATATTGGTTGGAGTGCTAAGGACATTCAAATATAGCAGGAGTTCACATAGCCATGTCCTCTGAATCATCCCCCCCCACACACACGCACACAGTAACTGTAAGCAATCGGTCCAGGAGGACATTTTGAGCATAATCTGCACAATGCTGCCTCTATGCCTGGTATGGTGGCTTCTCTAATGCAGCGGTACACTGACCACTAGTGTGTTCTTCTCTTTGCTATTCAGCCACTCGGTGCACTAAGAAAAGCAGCAGACAGACCATCGTCCATTCTACAATACTAGTAGCCCCACTTCTGACGAGGGGCATGTCCACTCCCATCGAGTCTGTGTTTGTTTCTTCTGTGTACTCTGCTTGCTGGCCCCACACCTAAATCCGCAGACAATGAGAGAATTAACTCCAGCCAGGGCATTAAATTTTCCTAGCAAAAGAGGAGATATCAACAGAAAGGGAATCGTTTGCCACAGCGGTTTAGCCCGGCTTTCACTTTTAAGCCTAAACCACACCTTTCAGTTCGTGACCGAATTTCTTGGATCAGCACATAGAACATAGTATACCCAGCAAGATATGGGATGGAAGGGTCCTCCCCTTACATTACCTTACCCTTACAATAATTTTAAGCAAGATATGGGACAAAAAGAACCCCCACCTTTGTCATTGTTTGTAAGTACACCAGGCAAGATATGGGACAGAGGGGTANAGATTCCAATCAAACAATGACCAACACAAAGGTGGGTGCTCTCCATCCCATATCTTGCTTCATATGAATAAACAGGCCACTGAATGTAACAAATATGAATTTATATATATTGATGTACATGTATCCATTTTCAGTCCGACCATTCTGCTTGAAAATCATTCAAAGTCAGTTTCCCTGTCTTTGTAATGACATATTGTGTTACATTATCATGATAATGGTATTTGTAGAGGTGTTTTTGATGGTGTTTATATTATAGTACTTTATTGGTATTATTTCAAAGCACTTTCCTCAAGTGCTCTACATATACACGCTAAAAATGATATGTCAAAGCAGTGAGGGTGCAGCAGGGAATACACTTGTGTTGAGTCTGGCATTTTAATGTTGAATCTGACATTTTAAATATTTCATTCAAACCTTTAAAGAGTGCATTCAAACATTTGAGTGCTTATTAACATTGCAAAAGTTATTTCCATTGAATTAACAGCTTAACACTGGATTTTACATTTGAAATGTTGCTTTCAACACTTTTAGAGAGTGTAGATTCTAGTTCGTGACCGCACACGTTTTGAATTCAACGCTTCAGTGTGTTAGCGTGGACAAGAGATATTGTTGGAAGTGCCAGCTGTGACTTTCAAGTGACATTCTTGGTTTTTCCCGTGATCGTTTGATAGATTAGGTCGAAATTGCCTAACTGCTCGAAACATCCATTGCAACTCCCTTTAGGATATGCACTGGTGGTACGCAAATCCGATTTTAATCAAAATAAGCTACGCTGAAGAAGTTGTGTGGGAAATCCTACCGCTTTTGTTCTGAAATTTAAATTCATATCTCTGCCCCGAAGGCCAGTCGTGTGCCCGACCACAGACGGGTGGATGCAGGGAGGGGGCTTGCGCAGAGAGTTTCACCTGCCACCGAGTCAGACTGTGGTCTAGCTAGACATGAGCCATTTGGCACGAGGCCATATGCATAATGACCATCTCCGCGCAACTTTCAAAGCGAAGCGTCGACTCCCCCCCCCATGTTAAAGGAGCAGCCAGCATTTTGGCAAACAAGCTGGCAATTAACAATGAACCAGGCAGCAGGCACGAGCGTGCCTCTTCACCATTGTCAAGCAGGCATTTTCGTCATAAGTTCCACTCGAGCAATCGCCTTGATACCCGGGGCTATGACCGCCACAATTGACATAATGGCGCACCGAAGAATGGGGTCGGGCGAAAAATGCCGTCTATAAGCTGCGTTTGGTGTTCTACAGAGTACACAGTGTAAGTTTGCAAGAAAAGTAGCTTCGCTTCACTGATCGGCAGCATTTCCTGTCCCATTCAGACGGTTCTGAAGACCTTGATTTGTCTGAAAACGGCTGTGTTGGGTTTAAATCTAACGTCTGTTTTCTACCAAAATTTGAGAGAAGACTTTTTAGGTCGTTACAGAAAGTGTCTTGTAAATCTCCGAGGACCACTGGTTCGTTGTACAGGCCATGTTGTCGATTTTAAACATAGCCACAGATTGTGTGCAAACGCATTCCACAAATCCGTGCCACGGTCCAAAGATCAATCAGTTGTTTGTTAACAAACGCTGAGGGTTTTTAAAGGTCGCACTCATTATACTTCTGAAATAAAATTCCACAGGCTCGACTAAAAAGGATTGAAAAATCCTCGCTTTACAGAAAAAGAACGTGCGGGTGGATAGAGATGGCGACAACAGTTGACAGTTTGAACTTTGATCATGGTTCCAGTAAGTCAGAGATATACAATTTCCTACATACGCGATAGGCTGTGGCCTGTAGTTTCATGGATCGGATTTCGTGGACAAATTAGAGGGGACAAACGGTACGCTGGTTCCTCAACAGAGGAATACGTTTAAAGCCGTACAAACCCTCAGTCCCCAAGATTAGACCCATTCAGTTGCTAACTTCATGAAAGGTAGAGGGGATTCATAAAAAGACACACGACACCAGTCAATTATGTCGCATCATGGAGTAAAACAGCCCCATGGTGACATTGTGCAAAGGCACACAAATGACTCTCTCCATGATCTGACCGACCAAGGAGCTATGAAAACAGTTAGCTAGCTGATCAAGCCTGTTTTTAGTGGTTGGAAACTTTGAACCTGTACCCGTAGCATTGGCAACGTTAAACTTCCACACCAGATTGAGCTTTTGATGACTGCAAAGCCCTATGAGAATGGTCTGAACAATTCTTCCTGAGTCAACGACTTGGTGTTATCCCTCCTAACCTGAACTCTTTTGGACATGTTATTGCTTTCTGATGGCTATTAAGTCACTGTAGGGAAGAACTGCTGGCGTCCGTACATGGAACTCTTCCCACAGGGAACAAAGTGCAGCCTTAACTTTAACGCATGCCTAACCCACAGATGGTATTAACAGGGATTAACACAACGTGCAGTACCAGGAGATTTTGAGGCACCCTGTTTGGCATGACAACAGCTCACTAAACATTGTAAATTGCCGGGGAACATTTTGAATTTCCACTAGGTCCAGGAATAAGACGTGATACTAATAATCTCTTTAACAAAGTAATACAAGGCGTGCATATTTGTCAGACCATGGCGGGAGGAACGTGTCTGTTCTTACCTTCCAGACCAATCACACAAGCTACTTGAGTAACTCCCACTCCCAACAACCACATCCAACAGAAAACTTGTCAAAAGTCCCGTGATCAAGCAACACCACACCGCTGGCGGATACGGGCCGGGGCCTTTACACCTCCCGTGCAAACCCATCGCCAGCTCTTTCTCTATGGTTAGTCCAGTCAGCGGAGGAACTCTTTTGGAGTGACTTCGCTCTTAGAGATCGCGCTCGATGGCGCTTCAGCAGCGTGGCGAAGATATTGATTTCTGATGCGATTCTAAGTCATGGTGCCACGCAGCATGAGTGCTTAACGTGTTGCTGAACTCGAGGCCCGACTCGGATGACTTCGCAACCATGTGCTCAATATAGAACAAGACTGATCCGATGCTGTACCCACATCTGTTCCACAGTCCTAACTTTAATTCCGCAGAAAATCTACACCATGGTGTTGATAACAGAATACAGGTAATGACTGTAGGAGTTTGGCGAGTATACTGTGCTGGTTCGTGCCAAGAGAACTCGGGGTTAAAACTTCTTGCGTGGCTGACACAAGCTACGCGAGACCGCCGTCGTTACCTAGCTAGCTCCACTCGTGACAGCTTATCGCTCGCAGATCCCTCAAAAGTGTCTGTAAATAACAAATTCCACTTGTCCGGCGAGTCCACTGTTGCGTAGGGGTGGCAATAGATATTAACCAGGCATAGAAGCAGGCACAGCTTTCTTACGTCAAACTGTGCGTTTCTAACTTTGTGTAAATGTTACACAAGAAGTAATTTCTGTGTGTAAACCTTTGAACAAATTCCAGAAAATCGGGACTGAATCAGGACATTCTCGATGCACTCCCCTGGATCAAACTTCGAAGAGGCGTGGCTTATTTGTTGATTGATTGGTTCTGTACACAAAGGCGTGACGCATTACAAAAGGTGTTCGGCCGCTACACACGTGCCCTATGCAACGCCGTTTGGGGTCCGCGCGGGGGCCAAGTCGAAGCAAAACCATTCCGGAGCCCAATTGCAAAAGGTGCAACAATGGGTCGTTAGCGGGGCGGCAAATACCAGGCATATGTCGCTGGCCACGGCGCGTGCTGCTGGCTTGTTTTAGAAAACTGCGCCCCCTTCGTATGCCAGTTGTCTGGCTGCGTGAGCGATGTCGTCCAAACACATCCCAGCCAATCAGGACCGTCGTCAAAGTTTGTGAGCGGTGCCAGCAGGGTGAGCTCACTCCCCTCGCGTGCTTGTGATACTGGGGGCCTAATGAGAGGTGTTGTGGAAGTTCAGTCTACCTAGCTGGCATCTTTCATGCATGCGGAAAACAGGTTTCTGCACAGAATTATTGCCAAAGGTTTACACGCTTTATTAAAGGCAAAGAAAACATGTACTTGCAGTTAGTAGTGAGGCTGCTGTGTCGCTGTATTCATGCTCAGACCACAGTAATGTGGTTCGTATCCCTCATGCACGAGTCTGTAAACCTTTGAGATTTAGCAGTCTACTTGTGACCAGTAATTTTTCTAGGGTTCATGTTTTAATATTGTTCAAGAATTCTCACAAAGTTTCCTCTCACTGCTCTCCTTGACTAAGCATCCGCAGTCGTTTGGGGATACCCAATGTCGTTTTCTTCGATTTTTAAACTGATTTTTCAAGTCAAAACATTTTCCAATGGGTACTCACATTCTGCGAAGTTATTTGAACGTCCAGTACCTTTGTCCTGGATAAATCACAAAGTCTTCCCTCGCGGGAAAAATATGTTTTGGTTACCGTGTCATTAACTTGCTCAGAGATAGAAGGTCGTGCTTAGTTTCCTCTGTGCATCCGGTAAAGTCGAACAGCTGTTGTCAAGGTGATGCATTGCGATGGTAGGGTGGGTGTGGGTTATGTTTCCCGCCATTTTTATCAGTATGTAGTAGGAAACCCTCAGCTAGAACTTGGATTGTAGAACAGGTGGTGGTCTACTTTTGGCTGCGCTGGCATCCAACCCGCTTGTCAACAAAAGACTGTTGTAATGGTGTCCTTGATCCTGGCAAAGCGAGCGAGAAATGGAAAGGTTTTCACCACACTTCCGTACCGGTTGCTTGTCCACATTATCTGCCCCAAATTTTTATTAGGCCAGCTGGTTGTAACTTGTCTTTGTATTGGTGAGCCCGTAATCGGATGTCGGCTGTTTTCGTAAATCAAGTGTGTTCACTCTTTGTCGACAACGGTGGATGATTCTAGATAATGTGGACTTTAATGGGTTCGCGTGCCTCGCGAATTTGGCTTTGAACTTGGAGGGAAGTTCCTCGTCTGCGCTGGAAAATCGTTGTGTGGGTCGCATGAGTCGTTTGTTTCACTTTGGGCTCATAATGTACCACTTGACCTTGTTGCGTGCATTTCCTGATAAACTGCAGATATAATAAGGGGATTTAGAGTCGGGTTGATGCAGCAAGACTTCTCTCGCATTTTTAATCTCGTGCAAGGGTTCGATTACGTTATACCCGTCAGTTTAGTGGGTTTTGCCCGTATTAATTGCCTGGCTTTCTTTTGTCTTTTCAGTAGATTTTTTTTTGGGGGGAGGGGTTCGAGTTACAGTGCCATGTAGTTTTTTTAGGAATCCCGATTATATGGATTATGACAGTGCACGATAACTTCAAGAATTTTCAAGGTGGCAGGCAACTTGTTTGGGGAGCCTAAAAAGTTCGGGTGTAACCATTTATGGCTCTTGAGTGGTACAGCTATACATTGGGGCTTTTTACACGCTTTTGAAAGTGACAGAAATGAAAAAGATCACAAAATTGCCCTTTTCTAATTGATTTCCTCATTCTGGGGGTGGGGCATGGCCCCGTTGCTCCCCCTATCCTTGGATAACTTTTAAAGCTGTGGTCTCGTTTTGTGAAATGATAATAAATGACACCCTATGAATGAAGTAAGACATTTTGCAGTATATCGCATACGCATTTTGCATGTACCGCAGCTTTATTTAGTATACCACTTTATTTTTTTCGAGGAGCAAGTTCCGTTACTAGAAGTACTTTCCTGTCAGAATCCTCGACACATCTTCAAACATTAAATTTATGATACAGGGCAGAACATAATTTTCATTTAATTGCACAAAATGGGGGCATCTGATGAATATTTACCTCCTCCTTTATGTTAAGTATCTGTTCCGACCAGCGTAAATTCTTGGCAAGCTGCCTTGATCACGCGCCAGCCCCAATTTTACGGCCCCGTTTGGTCTCTCCCCTAAGGCCTCAAAGGCCCCGCGGTGGGGGCCACATGGCAGACCCCCGATCACACACAATAACAAAAACCGGCGCGCCTGGCATCCACGTCGCCTTGAGAAGAAACTAACCGAGCGAGTGCTGAAGGCCGACACGTGACTCGCCTACTGCCTGGAAAAGTGGGCACATTTTTTTTAATTCTTCTGCCTGAAAGACCAGAGATCAGTTCTGAAGTGCTTGTTGCTGCCTGTTGCACCTGGAAATTGGATCAACAAGGACAGAAAGAACTTTTTAGGGGTATGTGTCTGAAAATTGCACCCTGGCGCCTGATATCACGAGTGGGGATTCAAATTTCGGTTAATTCTGGCCTCAAGAATCGGCGATAGCATTGCCATCTCGTTTCTTTCTCCACGCACATTCATGATAAAAGTGCCCGTGTCACCATGAAATTTGGTTCTGGCGTACTTGCAGTTAGTGAGTAATTATTTGTCTACAACCCAAATGTGGAGAAAAATGTTGAGTTGTAAAATATTAACACTTAGTACTGTCAGTACTAAAATCCCTTAGACCACAGAGCAAAGTACATAATGGCGCTCAACGCTAATTGCCGGGCGCTTTATTTATGAGTCTGGAAATAATCGGTAATAAACTTCTGTTCTTATGTATACCATGATATATCATTCTGGGCGCACAATGGCCCGTGAATGGGCAGCCTCGACAGCTGTTACCAGCCACCGGAGGGGTACCCTGATGACCTGGTAACTGAGACTATTATATCGTGGGCATAACCGCATCAACAGCTGGTACGAGTCACGTGCAACTGGCAATACTCACCGGACCCTCGCTGTTTCCTCGCCATGTGCTGCGTGATGCCGTGCGATCGTAGACCTGGGCCGTTTTCCAATACTCAACTTCGGCTCCGTCTCAGGCTTCAACTGTTTTTGTTTTTTTTTACAAGCTGACTTGAAGCTGTAAGCGCAGTAATCAGTCAAATAGTGCCACAGAACTTCAAATCAGATGTAAGAAAGCCAAAACTATTATAATCCAATTGAATTTAAACGCTTCAGGCCGACAATCGGGGATTGGTTTTGGGAACGAAGCCTGAGTAGATGGAGACAAAGTTGAGTATTGGAAAACGGCCCTGGTTCCTTCAGGTCTGCATGGTGCAAAGCTTGGGGCATTGCGACTGCCTGTCGATTATTTGCGTCTACCTTCGGGGAGGATTCCTCCCTCGCATGAAAAAAATAAAAGTTGGCCTTACCTTGAATATATTCATTGTGCTCCGGTTGCAGAATCCATCTTCGGTGGGTGTCAGCGGGTTTTGTCGTTTGGTATTGGCAGTATTGATAGCTTGATGTTTGGACCAGGAACTCAAGGAATTCCGCTTTATTAGAGGCGTAGAGATGGTGAAGGATCTAAGAGATCTGAAAGATTCACGCTGAAAACACTCTCATCGTGAGTCTAAAAATAATGTTCGAGTCAAGCTAAGTTCTTTGTCTCCCTGTGGTCAACCGAATTCATTGATAATACGTGACGTCATACTCGTCTCTGCCACACGCTTATCACTCAAAAGAAAATTTGACGAATTTCAAATATAATTTGGGGAGGTAGTACTGAAAATGTTATGAATTGTGAATCCTTGAAATTTTTCTGAATTTGCTTTCTTGTCAGGGGTGGGGTGTTTCTGAATATTGTGCGTTTGGTGACTGTGTGTTTAAAAGTTTCTGAAAAATATTTCGGAGGTTAGGCCTGTCGGTTGGAAAATTGTATTAAATACACGTATAGATGGAAGTCCCCGCATTGTTGCAAGCAGCGGCATTTTTTTATTTACAACGTGTGGCCAGAATGTACTGGTTGACTTTTTAAAGAGAATGCAGACCACATCAACAGTCATCCGTACCTATCCGAATGCTCATTATACAGTACTCGCATTGTGATCGAACTCTTCTGTTTGTCCTTTACATGGTTTGATTTTAACTGTAGGCAGCCATTATAACAATCAAAACGGCATTAAAACTTTCGACCAATGGCAACAGTGAATCAATGATGTGAACTGAACGTATTTCAGAGAGGGCGCTGTGCATATTTGGAAATGGCTGGCATCTGATGTCAACTGCTCACTACTGATCGACGTACGTATGACGACGGGTGCTGCTTAAAAAAAATTTTAACAAAAGCAAGAGAGGTGTTCTGAAGCAGCAATATTCTTAAGGGTCGAGAGTCGGATTTGTTTCTTTATTTGCTTAAGATGAAGTATATACCAGATTGGTCGGTCAAAAAGTCACCCAGAGTATTAAAAAAAATAGGGCGAGCTGCGGTGTTTTGAAAACCTGACAAAAATATTTACCGTCCCATCGGAGTGTGACACGGACACCCTGCTTGGAAACAATCAGCGGCATTTTTCTCATTTTTGACTATTGTCGACTTCAATGGTGAGAGGCGGGTGTTTGGCATGCGCCCAGCCGTGCGTACACACGAGCGCACCTGTTCCAAAGGTGTGTGGGCACAATACGCGTGACTCGTCCTTTGTAGTTTGGAAGGGACCGTGATCAGCGATTATGACTTCTAGTACAACTACATCTGGTACAGCTACGTCATAATACAAAACATATGACATTTTGAATTCCATAAACCAAGTATATCTACCTATTGTAAGTCTGTTTGAAAACCCACCTCCAGCATCTTCCCTTAGTTGAGCACTGTGCCAATGATATACATTATATATACGTGTTCATTTTGTAGATCCTGAGTGTGCCTTCTAACATACACTGTGCAACTGTTGTGTTTTACCTAGTTATTGTGACTGTTTCAAGAAATCCCTTTTTACTCGCCGCTCGCAGGTTTTCTCCGGGTACCCCGGTTTCCTCGTACCTCTAAAACTGGACCTTCTTCCTGACTCCGTAGTACATGATGCTGATTAACAAAGGTTATGAATAAACGTGTACATGCACATGCGTGTAGTTATTGGCACAAATAGCCCAAGTAGCTTATAGCGCCATTGAAACAAGTCAACAACACCACCCCATTGTACGTAGCTATTTTCAACTCACTTTATCCATTGTATTGATCAGACACGTATTTACATATAAGTTGCAATTTTGATTTTGCCTTCCCTGTAATAAAAGAAAAGAATGTGGTCTTATCGAATAGCTGGTAATAGACTTGTGCTTCATTGTCTTGTGTGTGTTTAGATGTTCTGATTAAGCCTTGGACTTTTTAAAATGCACAAACTAATTATTTTTGAAGTAAAAACAATTTAATTGGTACAGATTCATTGATTTGCTGGATGTTACATGTAGTTTAATCATCAGCTGGCTCGTCACTAGGTGCATGTTTTGGTCAGTGTTGGTTAGCTACTTGGTTGGTCCTAGTCAGGTTACATCTCTTGTACAGAGTTAACTGTACAGCATAATGAACGATTTACCATAAATGAGCAACTTTTAAGGGGGGGCTTTTGGTTTGGTTCTAGGTTTTTAGTTGGAAAGTCAAGGATAAGTCACATTACTTGGACATTCAATCATATCCTTAAAACACACCTGTTTGGTTCATATTTTGTTTGGTTTCCCTCGATTGTTGTGTTGTCGCCAATATTTGCTTGTGTATTTTTCTCTTGTGAAGCACAATTAACAACAGTAGTGTGGTAAGTGCAATATGAACATTGCTGTTATTGTTCAAGTTAGTTATCATTGGGTCAGACAGTTTTTGGCTGGTTGAGTATTTGTTAGTTTTTTTTATGTCAGCCAGTTGAGTAGCTTATCTCGGGTTAATATTGTTTAAGAATGTGTAAGTTATGAACATCACTCACATCAGAAAAGTTGATTTTTACAAAATTTCTTTATTTTTTTTAATGCAATAACCTCATTTTCAAAGGTAATCTCTGATTCCTTTTTACAAAATGAGTTGAAGGATTAACCTTAACCCTGAGGATGTAGGGAAAAAAAACACATTGAAATTGGGGCACTGGGGACCGTTAGGATTAAGGATGTTTGAAGTTTTCAGTTAAATTTGTCTGTCATAAAACTCAACAGGGCTATATGGAAAGCACTTTTTAGGCGGCCTTTTTCGAATCCAATCATCCATGAATCCTGGCCAGTGTGTTGTAAAATTCAGTTCTATTCATGGAGTTTGGAGTTGATGGCACCATTCCCTAGCCATCAATGGCATTCCTTGGATCCTTGTGTTTACCGAAGCGTGTATTGCCACACGTGCAGTTCTAATAACCGCTTTCTTTTTCAGTCCTCTTTTTGTTCCTTAAAAGTGCACAGTGGGGTGAGTGGCAGCCACGTTACCGGGTACCATTATTGTCAGATATTCAACACATCTATTAGAACTTTATGAATTTCTAAAGATTTTGCCAAACATGATGGATGTTCAGGTAGGAATGCATAAAACATATGGATGCATCTGTACCATCCAATCCTTTTTTGAGAATATAACTTGGCTTTGTTCCATACATGTATCTCAGAGTGGAAAACAAACATATGGATCACAAGTGTTGATAGCTGAAACGATTCAAATTTTGGAAAGTGAACGGTGTCTTTGAACCATAATCGAAAACACAATTATTTCAATAAAAGTATAAAAAGATTTCATTTACGCCGTAAGTTGCTACATGAAATATATTTCATTAAAAGCTGAGTCTTGACTCACAAGAAGTGACAATTCAAATACCAAATTTAAATGAGCAATTCTAGTTGCATGTTGCTGGAATTGTGGGAGAATGTTTGGGAAAAAATAGGGCTCGGTGATTTGTTGTCTTTGGTATCTTCACGATCATATTCATCGTTTGTATTTTCACTGTTCATTAAGTAGTCATCGTTCACATTGTAGTGCCAGGCACGCGTGTACGCCAAAGCTCGGTCTGCCCTGTCTGCAAGGCGTGGATAGCCAACTCCTCCGCCTCGTGTGGAGTGAAGCCAATGATCGAGGTTCCCACAAGTCCGACGTCATGCTCAGACGCCAGATCCTTCACTCTGGCTTCTATCTCTGCGGGCGATGTGTAGCGTATCTGGCGATAGGTGTCTTGTGGAGCGTCACTTGGAAGGGCACTGCAATCTGTTTGGTGGGTTTTGGTAGTCGACGTTTGCGATTCAGTTGGCTCAGAGCAAGGTGTATCTTCGGCGGCATCCATGGGTATGTTCTCCACATTGCAGGCTATCTCAACATTTCCCTCGTGGGCGAATGCCATCACTCTCACACCAGGCAGACCACCTGGGGTAGTGGAGCGAATCCTCTGGGCAATCTCATGGCCGATGGAGACATCACTTGTTGCCAAGGAAACATTGTAATTTGTGACGTACAGAGATCCCCCTGCACCTTGATATTTGAAGGAAAATAAAAATAGATTGAACAAGTTTATCTTAGTTCATCCCAGCATTTAAATTTTCATTTCAAAAGCCATGAACAGGATGGGATGACAAGACTTTTTTTACCTTACTTTTTTACATATCTTGTGAAGTTTTTGTCAAGTGCTAAAAAGAAAATGCCATTCTCTTGACTAACAATGCAATGCCTCTTAAACAGGCTTCATTTCAGCTTGTAACCTTGGAAACGTCCTGTTTTTTCTCATAGTTTTTCCCATCACCACTTACTTTATAATTGCATGCACATGTAGTCAGGGCATGAAAAAACGTGCACCTAATCTTAGTTGAGCTGAATTAAGGCTCGTTATTTTCACAGTGGATCTTGAAAGTGTCCAGCAGGTGCTTTGTTCACCCTACAGTAAAACAGTCCTCAGTTGCCAAATTTATTACCACTAACACTGTAAATATAAAAGTTCTTAAAAAGCACCCTGGTATTTTCACAGCATTCATGGTTATTCAGATTACTTCTCAATCTGTTATAAATTACTTTCACAGGCACTTTCAGAATTTCCTCAAAATAGGTACAGTAAAAAAAAAACCACTACTAAACATCAACTCGTTAATTTTTTCCAAGAAATTTGGGAGGCTTATGAGAGTGTTTCAAAATCCATTAAAAGGGGAACTTAGGTCATGAGAAACCTGCAAAGTGAATGAGCCCATTATAACGGACTGGTGACCCTCGTCAACAAAATCAGTCCAAAGCAAAAGGCAAGCCCCATGAGCATGCCTGGTTTCCAATGACAGGTACAATTGTACATGTACCTGTTAGCCCGTATTTCGCTGACGGTCTGCTCCCAAGATCATACTGGAGACTCCCATAGTCTGTATGATGCCTGCCTAGAAACCAACCAACTTCCTTGCGCCTTGCCACAAGATCTCTGTTGTGGGGAACGTCGGACGTACCAAACAGAAAGAATGAGGTACCCGGAATGTCCACTGCTAAAGTCGATGCAATTTCTGCAGTTCACAACCAAAAGGGGGCATAAGGAAAACATGAACAAGGGTCTTGCCTTATTCGGTGAAAACAAATGCATGCTTAATTTGATTTTGAACACTCATTCCAAGTTTGGAGTTATGATATGGAGAAAACCTCGGCAGCAATTGGTTGCATGGACTTGCTAGGATAATTTGTGTGGAATATGTGATTGGCTCCACAAGTGCTTGCCCTCAGCGGGTAGTATACAAATACAGCGTGGTTTGAGGGAGGCAGTGGGAATCACTGGTCCCGAGGTGTAGGTCAACTTCACTACCTTCCAACGCGAAGCGGAGGGAGGTAGTCAAACTGACCTATACCGAAATAAACCATGCTGTATTTGTTTTTACTACACTTCATAAATATTCAAACAGAAATCTCAAATTACTTGTACTCACAGATGTAACTGTTTCTTAGCTGCTAAATTTTCATGTAATGAAAGTGGAGTGTAGATGTGCATAGAAACAGGGCTTCAATAGTCTGGTGCTGACATACATTTTGGGTCTTTACTGTAATAGTTATTAGGATACAAATCCAGACTGGTTCCGTAAAGATTACATGACACGGACTACATATGTACGCCGCGGGTTCCAGAGGGATTTTTTTATGCTACCAGAAAACCTACCACACGGCAGCGAGGTGGATACTCAACACTATGACGTCGCCTGGTTGTGCATCATTTCTACTTCCCAGACGCGAGGTGCAATCGGCCAATGATGTGCTCCGATTTGCTCATGAATATTTATGAGGTGTAGTAATCTTCAATTCTTCATTTTTGTAAGGACACCTCTTGGATGTAGTCAAGTCCATCACAAATCAGATTAGAAACCCAACCACTAGTCAGTTCACATGGCTGTCACAACTACGGATTAGCACTGATGACAAAGAAAGGCAATTCCTCCCGAGTCATTTACATAGCTTATGACTTTAAAAGAGACCGGATGACTTGGGACAGATATGTGACAGACTTGACTACCCCCACTGGTGCCCCGAGTACTCATGTGAAGTTTCATGCATTACAAGATTGTAGCTAAGATGCAGCAACTAAGAATAATCAAGTTCTGAAGTGACTAATACAGTAGAAACTGATACAACCATACTTAATGAGCAAGTTCGCTTAGCGACAATTTGCTAATTACTGGTCAATTTTGCCTGGTGCCCGGTTTACATTTCATGCATAGGATACCAGTCAACATTGACCATCCATTGACAATTTGTCACTGACCAAGCTTGCCCCAAGTTTTCCCTTCTGTTAGGGGCACTCTGACTTCTGGGGGCTTTGAAATCTGTTTTCTGTTGTACGCCCCTTCCCTTCCATCTGACCTCTAGATTTGACCACTTGAGGTCACTGACCCAACAGCCTGACCTTTAGCAATCACACCGCACTCCTCTACACGGACGTCCCTGGACAGAGGATAGATGGGTAGCAGGTCAACAGCACCAAGCCGGGGATGAACACCTCGTTGCTTGCCCAGGTCTATCTGTCCATAGGCTTCCCTGCATGCGTTGTAAATGCTGTCTTGCAGATACTTGAGCGGTGCCGCTATCGTCAGCACTGAGCGATTGTAGTCGTAATCGGAAAAGACGTTTAGTACTGTCGATTTGCACTGCAAACCTAAATTAAGAATTTCAGAGAAATTAATGAGACGCTGGAACACACTGAGTGCTGTGTGTTTCTCTATTCTTCAATGAACACAAATCAAATTTGATAAGAGTTTTTCGGGCTATTGTTGATAGATCTATGCAATTGCTTGAATGTGCTTGCACCATCCATTTATCTTATCTGAAATCTGTCAGTCCCGCTACCATCAATCTCCTTTTCTTTCTAGTTCACAGCTGTGGACATGGTGGAAGAACGTTTTGAAAAAGACATGGAAATTGGAAGAACATTTTGAAAAGGGCATTGAAGATTTTGTCCAGGATCAACAGACAGCAAACACAGTCAAGTAAAGCGCATCCACCAATCGTATTTAATAGATCTAGTCATCTAGATATAATTCCCTGAGTAGCATAACAATATGTAGAATTACGTGTCCCAGTGTACAAATCTATGAGATTTGTCTGATTAAAAAAGTGTTTGCAAAATGGACCTAAATGCTTCAGAATTTTCTCCGCTAAAATTTCACTTTTAGTTACTTTAGAACATGTTATAAAATATAATTTCTGACAGCTGTTTGGATCGGCCCAAACATTTTAAGAGATTTAAACAGTGTTGTACCATAGCCTAAACTCTTTCCAAGTTGTAGGCCAATAATTTGAACTTGTACAGCCTAACATTAAATTTCTCCATGGTTAGGCCTAGAGAGGTTTACAATCGAGGTAAACCTCCATGGGTTTACCTATTTCAGCATCGGATACAGTCACCTCCTGAGCAGTGGAAACGGCAGCACGAGCGACAGCCTCCACCACCTTAGGGTTCCTGCCTTCTGAGATGTTCAGCAGGCAGATGCCAAGCCTCTTCATGATGCATGTTCATACATGTCATAAGAATTAAGATCAATGAGGGTATTTTGCTACTAAAATGCTCGCATGTTTAAGCCAGGTATTCATAGGGTGCATAATGCGCATGCGCGCCCCAAATGACGTCAGAGGTCATTCACGTACGAGCAGATTGCACTCAGTAGTACTACATGTACATGTACATGTACAGTACATGTACATGTACATGTACAATGCTGCCGGTGTTTACTAAAGAGATCAGTGGTGTTTACACAGGTGGCACATGACAGGGGAAGCCATGCAGCTTCGAATTTTTCAAGTCAAGCGTTTTCGAAAAGAGTGGATTCGGGCTTAGACTGCGGTTTCGCTGGTTCCAGCCATTTTGAAGCAGCGTTCGAAACCAGATGAGGAACAGGCGAGATTTCCGCAATTAGCAACCTATGGGACAGTTACGCGTACTTTTTTTCCTAGGTGGGTCAAGACCCCACGTGTGCGTGTCAGCATGGAGGAAGGAGGGGAGCTTAATGCTCCATGCATGGAGCTACTGGAAGTACATGTACATGTACTTTACATGTACATGTACATTTGTACATGACCATGATCGTAGCAGTGCTAGTCTTCCATACATAGGTTACTGCAAGCTTCAACGTCGTCCCGTGTCACGAGATCTCTATGAGTAACACGCATGCGTACGGGTCTTGATATTATACTTACCCTAATGTTCCTAGGAAAAAAATTACGCGACCGGCAGAAAAGTGTAATCGAAGTCAAAGCCGAATCCACTCGTTTAGCCAGCGGTGAAATAAAAAGCCGCAGCCAGTGTTCGATTACTTGTTAAAACCTAGTCACTTGGAGACGCTGGACATGCTAAGCGTATTGCCAACATACAAAAATGTACAGTAGAACCTAAACCGTTGAATATAATCTTGTCTAGGGTTTTTTCGGAGATGTACATGTACTCCACATACGTATACATGTACATATTTACATAGGACGTTAAAGTAATGTCAGTTTTTTAAAGTGATATTCAGTCATTTTTATGCAATATTGTTTATTCAATGTCCACAGAAGCCAGCACCTTTCCTCGATGTATCATAAACTACGAACACCAGAAAACCCTACTGAATTTTAAACTATTGAAGTACCAACTGGACTCTAGTTAAGTAATGAATTGACGTGACAGAATCACTGCGTAATCCGGCTTTTCATCTTCTGCAAGCTATAATGACGACAGTGACTAGTTCGCAAGCTTCACCTTTATGGGTTTCGTTAGTGTATAACCCCGGATGCAAGATCGTGATGATATATAAACAGGAAATCAACGAATTCACAGCTCAGAAAAGGCAACTGCAAATTTGATTACACAAGATGATAACTGAACTTGAACATGTTGAATAATCACAAAAGCTCGCTGGCGTTCAGTCTACGGCCGGCAGGCCTGCCCTGAACAAAATTTGCACTGTGGATGCACGTACGTGCGGGTCCGCACTACGGGTCCCAGCATCCGAGGTACTTAAGTGTTGTGAATGGACTTGGATTAGTTAGTTTAATATGCCTTTACACTCCTCTTGGGGTGTTGGCCGTCGACGAGTCCTCCACTGCAGAGTCTTTTGTCTTTTGCTTTCATCTCCAGCAGCCGCAGGCATGTGAAGGCAATTAATCTTCTTGGTATCTGACTGGAAGTCCCGTCGCCAGGTGCTTCTCAGATGGCCTCCTGACCTTGACCGAACGACCTTGCTTTTGTAAATACCGAGCAGGCCCATTCAAAGAATTAATCATGCACATGTATCTAGACTATAATGCTTCACCTTCAAAGTAAAAGAGTGAAAATTTGATTTAAAAGAAACTGTTTGGTAGTGCAAATATTGAAGAATAGACCTGTTGTCAGTTTTTCTTCCATTTCCCAAAGACTTTGTGCACATAATCTAAACTCAGGCTTGACGGATATGAAACTTAATCACTTTGAATGGTGAAAATATGTGCAAAAATCGCAGGAAGTAAATAATACGAATTGACAGACATCATGTTTCAGGCCATAAATACGCTGTACCAAAGGGATGCCCGCCCCTTTCTTTGCCGAACCAGTGCAACAAGATCAAGACCTTTTTTTATTTTTATTATTATTTTTATTAACTTTTTCATTGCTTTATCGTGTATTCATTAAATGTCGAATCTTTTCAACATCTATGATTCCCTTCTCCAGATATATTCGTTTTGGAGATGAAATATATCAAGAGACAATAATATCCGGCAATTTCATTATTTTGGACATGACCCTGGGGACGAGTGAGTTTGTTATTGCATTTTTACCCAGACGTCATCAACGTTATCTAGGCGCCAGTCAAGCAGAACCCGTCTACCTTGTCAGGGTCGTCGGAATGTTTCACGGCGCATGCTACAAGGTAGTCTTGGCCCAAGACGTCAGTGATCGATAGTTTTTTCTGTTGAAGAGCGCCCTCGCACAACAAGTTTTTACTCACTCTCAATAGTACGAGCTGGCGCACAGTCTAATTATGAGTCGTTAGGGGGCGCACTATGCACGGTGTCCGCGACACGAAACCAAGACTAACTAGAACTACGAGGGTAAACGTAACGCACACAAAAGACGACTTTGCTTCAGTCTCACTCAGCGTCTAATTTTTGTTATTAAAACGTTATCAAAGGCCACGGTCTTGTCAAGTATTGGTAAGTAATTTTAGTGGAAATTTAACCGCACCAGTAAGGCAGTATGATCATGCGTGGATAGTATCAGTAATGGAATGAGCTCAGCCAGAATGTAATTAACAAGTGATCGATAAGGACGTACACGTACACATGACCTAGTATTTAACTAGCCCCACTAGTGTGGCACGGATCACTCCCGATTTATCCTTAGCCACACATCTGTATGCGCAATTTTGTGTCGGCGTACTGAACATTTTTGGCGCACCCACGTATAATCGTGGGCGCAATTTCTTTTGCATACGAACATGATTCTTGACCTTTCCGTTTTCTAAATACCATTTATTGAATGATTTCACTCACGTTATTCAAGTATTTTCCAGTCTTTTTTCCTTTATCCATTCAATCTAACGGGCTCACTCTCACAATCGCCATCTTTAAAATAAGGTCGTTGAGCATTACGTCACTTGACCCCTCATCGTCTCAACGGCTCTTCCATGTCAAGACATCTAAACTGCTGCCAAAGTTTTGGAAGAGTCCATTGGTACATGTAGTATCTTATCGCTCAGTCCGTTTATTACATGTCTTGACATGGAACAGCCGCTGAGACGACGAGGGGTCAAGTGACATAATGCTCAACGACCTTATTTTAAAGATGGCGACTGTGAGAGTAAGCCTGTTACACGGTGAAAAGGCTGATTGCTCGGTGGCATGTGGTTCTACTCAAGCTTCCACATTCCCGTTGCCTCTTTTCAAAGTGGGGACTATTGTGAACCTGGTGATTATGATGCAAATTCGGTCTTTTCATTTCTGGGCTATACACAAAGACCAATTACCATATATACAAGAGCCAGGGTCTGCCTTCTTTCACCGTGTTCGCTCGAGCGTGGGCCGAGAATAATACCTGAAAAGCGGGTCTCAATTTTTACGGCGGCTCTATCCGTGTCCCGGCGCGAAGGGGTTAAAGAACTTGAGACTCTCCCCTTCTTTTTTTTTTAAACAGTTTTCGTGGATCATTGTTGCGTTTCTCAACAAAATATTTTTTAAAATAGCAATCCCAGACGATTTTATGGTGCTTCCAAACCCAAATGGACACTTTGTGTTAAAAAAAAAAATCTATTTTGTACAGATAACCTACAAAGATGGGCCTACTCTGCAATGTACACATCGTGCCTTGAAATCGCACCCCTAAAAATGTGCATTTTTAATCTTCCCCATAGGACTTGCCTATCCGATATCACACGTTGCTGTGGTTACACAATACAAAAATAGATATTGATATTCCCTTCTTGAATTGTACGATGCGGCCATAATATATCTTCATATTTTCAACCTATGCTTTTTAAAAATGCCCCAATACAGCACACCCCCTGAACGGCATGGTATGCACACATACACGACTATTAAACCAATTCAGATAATCCCGGCAATTTTCATTGGGCCTCCAACCCCAGACCCCCCTTTCAATGTTGGGTCTATGCGTGCGGTCTGCGCTCTGGCTGGACAGGATAACACTGATCAGGGGAGTGGGGGGGGGCATATGGCATTGCCAAGTGTCCCAACAATTTTGTCCCAGATTGTTGGCCTACATGGCCTGGGCTATTGTTGAGCTAGCTGGTATTGTCATCATGGTAATGATTATTGTTCGGTATGATGAGGGCATAACACTGTGTGTTTTTTATTCAAGCCTTTGTGGTAAATGATCTGGTTCCCCTTTTCAGTCATATTTTCCTGTGAGAGTGACCGTGAGGCTCTGGTGTGAAGGTTGGCTGTAAATGCATTTTGAGGACAGCTCCACCAGAATGCCAGATGAGATGTGATTTCCACTTAATCATCAACCATATCAACAGTCATGAATGACATTTTTTTGGAATCACAATATCGATTGCCAGCCATCTGTGATTATATCCAGCATCCTTTGGCCAAGTGCAGCTGACAGAACTGGCTTGCTCAGCATGTTGGTTTGACCATTTTCAAAGGTGGGGATTGTATGACTGCACTTTCGTAGAAGAGATAAATAAACATCTGTTAATCTGTCACAGCTACAAAGCCCAGTGCATGTCAGGTGCCCCGATGGTATCATCTTACAAGTCACACAGCAAGGACTGTTGTGTAGTGAACACAAGATGCCCTCCCCCCCCAAATGGTTGCTCTGATATGCGGAGCAAACTTGGCCATTGACCCGTCGCATGCACAGCTTGACAAAACCCAAATGGTGCACTCGGTTTAGTGTAGTGTTTATCAGTTGAAAAAGAAGAAGAACAGTCAAAAAACCAACAAATATTTAGCTGTAAGTGATGTTCACAGTCCCAGAAAAAGGGTTATATTCACTGAGTTTTCCTCAACCACATAAAAAAAGGAATGAGCCCACTAGGTAAAGGTATGCAGTGCCAACGTGTGCGCATGCATGCCATAAGTATAAATTTTCCTTGGTACGTGTACGTGCTTTGGTCTAAGTGTCAGCCAGAAGCAGACAGGTTATGAACCTAAAAGGGCAAAGTTTATTATCTTCAGGCAAACTTAAATTCCCAGGTCACTTTTGAATCCCATATCTCAAATGTCAAAGATTTTATAATATGTAAAAAAGAAATGATACCATAATCACTCAAAATTGCACTTGTCAGGAAACATAACAAGTAGCTATACTTTTCATTGCTCAGTCTTTCTTTCTGGGATCCATTGATGTTCACTCATTAAGACCTCCCATCAGAAATGATGAAAACAACTTTTATTCTGGGGCCATGTGTGCAAAAAAAAATAAAAAATGAAAATGGGACTGTTTACCCCAATTTCAGTCTCTCCCCCTCCCCAAGGTCACTGATGAAAAGGTGACAAATTGGCAGTGATAGTCTTCATTTACCCCCCAAAAAGCTAGGATGCTGTTAAAAATGAACCACTCTGGTTGGTCATAGGTTGGTTCAGTGTGTGAATGAAAAGAACAGATTGAGGAGGCATGATAGCCCGCTAGAGTTGAGTGTGAAATATTGCTGGACTTGTCTGCCTCCGTATTGTGGTAGTAGATTGGGAAATTTTCTTAATATGTTTTAGAAAATGTGCCAGACTTATGCGTGAAATAAATTTGAAGAAGATCATTGGAAAATGGAGCTTCTTTTAACCCCTTTTTAACTGCCTCTGTACTGTTGTTTGATTTAAAAAAAGAAGAAGAAAAGAATGAAATGAAATTTAAAATGATGAAAAAGCCAGTACCTGCACAGTAAAGGGGGAATGATACATGTAAGCATGGTATACATACATGTACACTATATGTGAATAATACAAAGCACGTGTATTACCACTGACCATACAGTTGCGTGTTTGCATTCATGGACAGTTGCCATCCAGTCAGTTTTGGTTTTTCAAATGCATGTAATTCTGTAAGCTCAAAAGCTCCACAATTGCCTGTCCATTGTTAACAAAGCCATTCATCTGTTATTGAGATAGTCATTATGCATAAGGTTTGTGAGTACATGTAATGTCATGTATATGTGTGTACTTGGTTGAAGCCCAATTTATACTATTGTGTCATAATGAACTTAATATTTGATCAGTAATGGCAGCTACCCTCAAACAGTGATTTTTTAGGAGAAAAAGAAATAAAATGCCATGGTTTTCCCGTCATTTCCCCAAACTGCTTTGTAATAAGATGTCATACATCAAGGGCATGGCACAGCACAGTATTACCCAGATAGCATGCTTAGATTGGACCCATGTTGGCGGACGTTGGCGTGACAACTGTCAAGCTGTCAATGTGACGTTGTCAGGCAATGTTGGCCTGATGTAAGTTTTTTTCCATTGGGAAAACAGTAACGGCAAAATGATCTAATGTTCACAGAGGAAATGACAGGTTGTTTTTTGTTTTTTTTAACTGTACTTTCACGCTACATCCACATCCCTCCTGGTTCAACTACGTGTACACGTAGCTTACAACAGTTTAAGTATGACGAGCTTGCTACAAAACAAAATGAGCACGGTTGTGTTGAAAAAACAATTACTTGATATAACATGGCTTGTTAATGAGAATTTCTCATGCCTGTGATCACTTTATTGCTTCTCATCTACACATAGATACATGGAGTTAAATTTGTCCTGTCACTTCACATTGATGACACTATCATGCTGGTGCTTCCCCCCCTTATTCAGCAGGTGCTTGTGAAAGGAGTTCTTTACACAATTAATACACAAACGGCAATCGTCTGAAGCCAGCTTCTTTGGTACTTGCTCCTTGTGCCTTCTTGGGGGTTCATTATGTTAATTTTGTTCGCATATTAATTTCTCATGGTTTCTGTTGGAGGAATAATTTTGAGGATGAAACACATTGTTATTTTTCTGAGTTAACATGATAGTGCACAAATCTTTTTTGTGGAATTTACTGTCCTCCACATTCTTTTCTAAAATATACACAAACGTACTATGGACCCTTAGAGGTGAAATGTAGATGATTGATAAATTTCAAGACCAAATGAGACATGCACATTCTTACATTATACCTGCTGCAGTACATGATGCACTGTACAGATGATACGGTGTATGAGGATGAATTCATTTTATCAGCTGTCAGCGCAGCTGATTCCCCCCCCCCCCCAGCGTTACAAGGTCCAGTCAATTTGTCAGGATGGCTTTCCTGATTTGCTTTATCTTTCATTTACCGCATGTGTCCATGTCCCTTGTGGTCACGGAAGCATGTATGAAAGCCAGGTAGAAACTAAAAAGTGGGAGTCTGTGCTGCTGGCATGTTGCCATGGCAACACACAATATGAGATGCCATTTATGATGATTAGCACTCCGTGTTATTTTTTTCCTTTTTTTTTTTTTCAAGTAAAGGATGAAGGCAGGCTCTGACAGATGAGAGGGAGAGCAGTGAGTTTAGTCCATACACTGTATGTTGGTTGGAGTAATGTGGTCATTCCTTACCGAGTTAGAGTTACTAGTGATTGATATTTTATGTGTGTCATGTGTATTATGTTCCCGTAGGGACTGATTATATTACAGACACTGGAATGCATATCTGTGCTGTTACTTGATCGGTGTACCTGTATATGGACTGGATAACCTTCAGACCTCTTCACTAAATGTGAAAAGTTCTATGTACATGTGCATGTAGATGTACATGTACACCTGTACACTGAATATGCACCAAAATGTTTGATATTTGCACGTGACCTATTCAAGATGGCAATAAAAGAGGAGGATAAGACTTAAAGTTTCTCCTTTCCTCCCTGAGCAGGAATGAGGTTATTATTTGCTCTGAATTTCAGAATTTGCAAACCGTCAAATTTAATTTGATGTACATGTAGATCCCTTTAGGCACACACATTGGCAAATTCAACAGCGGCAAGGTATGAAGCATTTAGAGCCCCCAAGCAGAAGCTGGTCAGTACAAGAAGTACATGAAGAACAAGCGTGACATTGCGCGGATCAACAAAACGTAATACAAATTGCCCCTGACCTTCACAGCAGAGCTAATGGATTATCTGTCATTTCTGAGAAATGCCTCTGTTTTTCATCTCAGTCCCCCACTGTTCAGCGTGATTGCGGCCCGTCTTGAGGGTAACCACGATGGATGCTTTGGTCACAGATGTCCTCTTCTACATCACAGCTGCCCTCTGCACTTTCCTAGCTATCCTGGTGTCGTACCACTGGCTGCTCAGGAAGCCCGAGAAAGCTCAAGAGGAAGAGAAGGAAGAAACTGTGAATGAGAGTATGGAGCAAGAGGATGAGGAGGAGACAGCCGAGGATGAGAAGCCAGAAGCGGTAAGGAGAGATGGGGGGAAAATTTGATTTTGTTCATGGACCCTAAATTTTTGTGTCTTAACCACTTCCTGCCGGGAGGATTTTTCTTGAGCAAGACAAGATGCCGGGTCATTTTCAGGATTTTCCATCTTCAAAATTCTTCAAAAATTCATCATTTCATTTAATGGCCGTTCATACCAAAATGAAGGACTCTCTGGGCACTACTCTAAAGCTGTTAGGTAAAATTCATTGACTCCTGAATATTTCAGCCAGGCCTGCAGCCTTAGAAAAAGAGCCCAGATTGTGCGGTGTTACGTAAGATTAGTTTGTTCCCGAAACCGGTACAGTGCACTGCTGGCGTCTTTTCAATAGGGGCCAGATTTGCGTGCAGCGGTGGTGTGTGGCTCATCGCTGCGGTGGTGGAGAGCTTTTGTCCCCTGTGGTAATCTGCTCGCTCTAAATGCCTCAAACCGTGGTACAATGTTTCAAAACAAGGCTGGATTATCTCCACTATTGAGAGTGAAAAAATGTTGGTAATGCCCAGCAGCTCAGTCTTTTGTGCTGAGCACGGTCTTTTGTTATAAAGCCCAACTCTTTTGTCCCAGTTCCGGGCTCCCCGGCTCTGCATGTAAAGTTTATGGACCCGAAAACGGGTCGCCCAGTAGGAAGTGGTTAAAATACATGTACACAGCTGTAGCTTTGTCGTTAAATGCCTGTTATTAAAAAGTTGTTAAGTATACTGCTAGAGTGGTGTTTGATGCATGAACCTCATGAACCTCCAAAAGTATGCATATAATAAATTTTGAAATAACTACACCAGGAGGGATTTCCTTTTTTATTTCTGTAGATGCTCCTTATCCTTGGCCCAAATCTCTATCAGTGTTATTCAGTTTCCTTTATGCCCCACTGCACAGTGGTGAGTCGTTTCCGACAACCATTTTAGAACTGTGACCAAATTCCTTGCCAAAATCAATGCGGGCTGAGTTTGATCAGCGATCATTCATCAAGCACTGGCCAGTTCTCCCTGGTAAGCAGTGCACAAAAGATATCCAGGATACCAGATCCAACTGACCAATGGTTGACTAACTTGGCCGTAGGTGCCTTGTTACGTGGGCTTCATGTATTACTTCGTTACGTAAGTGATTGGAATCACTTACCTGGCCATCATCCATCACGTTACGCTTGGTAGTACATGTAACTTAGCTTTAAAGTAGAGGCCAAAAAAAAATGCAGACATTGTTCCTCCCTAGCCTTTGCAGTTGGTCACAGTGTTCAAAATGGTCATTGTGATCAAATGACCATTGTGCAGTGAACCTTGAAAGAAACTTTGTTCTCATTTGCAAGATACTGAGATGACACGTTGTTAGGGACATGCTGTATAACTCTACAATTTCGTGGAATGTTTCCAACTTCAGAGTCCAAGAAAGTATTGGAAACTAGCTGTGTGCTCTTAAAAGGAGCATGTCGTTCATGCGCTAGATTTATGAGCATATCCTCACAAATCTTAACCATCTCTGCCTTGGCTGTTCTCAACCCTCCAGCCTCTAGTTTGCCCCTTCGGGTTTAGTGCCCCACCCTCTGCCGACAAGAAACAGGATGACCAGCCCGACAGGAATCTGGAAGGCATCGGCAATCTTCTCATCGACAGCGCCGATATCCAACCCCTGAATGAGGAGGAGAAGCAGAAGCTTAAGGAGGACAGCACCGGTGCCCTGCCACCTGATTCCCCCAAGAGCGTAGACCGGCGCAAGGTCAAAGAACTGGAGGAAGAAGTGATCAAGTCATTGTCGGAGCAACAGTTGGAGGAAGAGAGGAGGTAAACAGTGCTGTATTGGAAATGCATTAAGACCAT